AGTGGAGAACTATGTCAGGTCGCAGGCCGGTATTTCGGATTAACTCAGTGTACTTTTCATGGCCAGGCAGGTCAACGGCCAGTAACTAATCTCTCGCACAGTCTAGCACAGATGGAGCGTAAGCGACTTTGTTGAATTTCCCTTTGTGAATCTCCCCAGTCTTAAGGAAGCGAATGGGGACGACGGTAGGACTGGCCCTCGCATTGGCCCTCATCCTAGCTTGGTCCACTACGGCTGCTAACTCTTTTAGCACCTTGTTGTGGCGCCAAGTGTATCTGCCTTGACCTAGGGCTTTTCTGCATGCTGACAGAACGTGCTCGAGAATCTGCTTAGCTCTGCACAGCGGGCATGTCAGGTCGTTAGTTGCACTCCATTTTACCATGTTGACACCAGACGGTAATACATCATAGGCTGAACAAACGATGAAGCTCAGTCGCAGCGGGGTCGTTCGCCAGATCTCACCCCATGTGAGTACTCTTGGCAAGGCGCTCTCCAGGCTGATCCAATGACCCTGCTGCGACTGTTGGGCTGCTTTCTGAACCCTAACCTAGTTTTCACTGTCTCTTATCTGCTGTATCACCATGTCTCGGCACTCTTTGGCTGTGGCTTTGGACCACCAACTGACTTTCCCGTGACCTAGGCCTCGACGATCGGTATGAATGTAACCCATAATCTCCCTTAATTTTAGTGCATTCTGAGCTGATTCGATCGCATCTAGGACCTTCCATCTGACGCCAGTCTTTAGAGCGTGCTGGACAGCGGTGACATTGGGGTCTGAAGACTCGCGCAAGAGCATGGCGAGTCTTACTTTGTCGACTTTAATCTCTTCGGTTATTGATTTGAACGGGAGTACCAGCTTAGCCTGCTTACAATACAGAGCCACGTCAGTCAGACAAGGCGGTGCACCAATCCACTTTCTCATGGCTGTGTTGATTTTTCGCTCCATCGTCTCCACTGAAGTCATTGTCACTTTGTAGATTAACAGCAGCCAGAGAAGCTTTGGAATCAACATGAATTGGAGACATCAGACCTTGAACTTCCCAATCAGCCTGCTTCGCTCGATCGCGAGCCAGTGACTCGTGTATTCGCCGGACCTCCGCTCTATCAGATAACTTCAAATAATTATATTTAGGAGGCGAGGATGCCCAGAGGAAACCTTACATCGAATGTTGATAAGAGAGGCCAAATATGCTGATGGGGATTCCATCCATGACATTAAACTTATTACATATGATAGAATGCAATAAAGGAGTATAATGTGAGCCTTATGTGACGTATAATGGCACCACAAGTCATTGATGATGATGATTAGATGACCAGTACGTCCGAAAAGGGTCCTGTACTTTACAAAGAGCCAATGTAACCCACGCCAAAATAGGCCAACGTAATGCTCAGCTAAACTACTAAATATACGAGTTGTCTCAACCTTAACATTTAATACAAGCTCTAGATTATGCTAATGTACACATTTTCCAAGAGACAGCGGGGCATCTAAAGCAAACGTGCGAAACTACTTAAACATTACACATGCACGCACACACACACGCAGGTACGAACACACCAAACCATTTATCTTTAAATGCACTAGAGGAGGCGTTGACCAAACGTCCCAACAGGCAAATATATCCTTGTTTTTCTAGGTAAGCTCTTGACAATAAAACATGTGTCAGGTCCCCCTGACGTCACCCTAAACATCATATTCTCACTTGTCCTGCCCTACTGGAAGACACGCTTTTGTGCAAAACACTTGATGTAGAGACTTTGTTGAAGACGATCGTATTCATTCTGAAATCTACGAGAAGTACTTATAAGAGACTGATAATTGACATTGGATATCTGTAGAACCATCGCAGGAAAGATTTTTCTAATCGTTTCTGAAGGTAGTTTTTATGCGTTTAATTAGGTTCCTTTTTTTTTAAATTACTGTTTTTTCCCCGCCCCCTCTTTTTTAAATACTTTTTCTCCCTAGCGTTGACCGGCTGTAAACTCCGGTGGAAAGTTTCTGGTTACTCATCGACTTCTGCACTTTAGTCTAATTCCAGAACATGGGTTTTGAATGCACATCCGTTTTACAGATCTAGCTTATTTGTGTGCAGACTGTTGGTTGCTCGCCTCTCAGGCAGATGCACAACCCCTTTTACGACGTGCATGTTGTAAAAAGTGGAAAAGTTGGAAAGGGGGGAGGGGGGGGGGAAGGGCAAAAGGGTGAGGAACCTGTTTTATTTCTCCCTACAACAGGGCCACAGAACTAACACAGCGGCACCAATAGTTCCATTTGTGGGGAGTCCTGGAGGCAAAGCAGCGGTATTGCCTTTCGGCCCAGAAGTGTTGTGTTCGAATGGCCACAGAGCAGTGGTTTTCAACATGGGGAAAATGTCAAGGACAGCGTTAAGCAATTGAGAAACTGAGTTAATGTGTAATTATAACAATCTGCTGTACTAAGATTTTTTTAAAGTTTATTTTATAAATAAAATAATTTCAACTCTACTTATAAAAAGCAAGCAAACAATAGGTGGAGGTCTAGAGATATGTTCAAGTAGACGCCACTAAAAAAAACAAAAGGTTGAAAACCCACTACTAGAAAGGGATTTATTGTTGTACCATTGTTGCAGGCTCCCAGTTCGACTCAGTACACGAAACTGTCTGACAAGTTAAGGGAATCGGTTTTAATTTTACGATATCAACAGTCGAATGCTGGTTGGTTTATAAAATATTGGGCTGTTATTTTCATGATGTAGCAAGTCCTTTGCAGAACATCACTCTCATCTCGGTCTGCATGAAAGAAACTCGGTCTGTCGTCAGTTCTCCCTCCTCATATACTTTCAAATTTAATGCGTTATGTATATCCTGTACTCATCTTCATGTTGGTCGGCCCCTGCCCCTCCTTGTTTATAGAATGCCTTCTGCTATTATCCCCCCCCCCCCCAATCCTCCATTGCGCTTGATATGACCACTTATTTTACATTCCAAGACAAGATGCTGTTTATTAGCCAATCTTTCTTAATGTTCAGATTTTTTTAAAAGGTTCAGTATTTCTTCTCTTCTTTGTCCGTGGTATTCTGATAGTCTTTCTGTAGCATTTCAGCTCATTCTTAAGGACTGGGAGACAGTCCACGATTCGTGTCTATATGATGCTGCAGGGAAGGTGCTTGCTCTCAAAATTTTAACTTTGATTTCTTTGCTAGTGGGTAAACGTTGAATCTTTGCATTGCTATGGCAATACACGTCCTTTTGATTTCTGTCAGTCTCCGTTGCTATTTATTATAGAGCCTATATATTCAAAGGACATTTTCAATTTATTCATCATTTATTGTTTATTTTAGGGTGACAGCTAGTTTTGTTTAATAATGTGTTTCTTGGGATAATAATGCAGTAGTATATTGGGATGTTCCAAATAAAAAGGCAGCGGATATGGTGTAGTGGCTAGACGCTCGCCTCGGGCCCGAAGGTCATAGGTTCAAATCCGCATCCAGCCGGATGTTTCACTTTCAAAAAATGACATTGGCGCCCATGGCAACGCAGCCTAAAGTGGGTACCAAGTAAAGTCCTGGGAAGTAAAAGTGACCAGCGAGATGTTGACAACTTCATCCACCGAGTGCCGATTGGTCTACGAAATATGAATCTAGCACCATATACCCTGTGAGCCCGAAGGCGGTGAAATAATGGTATTTTCCTTTTTATGGAGCCATCATCATCATCAGTTTCCACTTCTGCCGTTAAGCGTTGTGGGGAGGAACAGTTTGCGATCCATTGCTTGCTGCGCAGCAATGGCTATTGTTTTTCCGTGTCGACGTAGAAGCTCTTTAATGTCATCAATCTATTCATCCTGAAGTGCTAATCTCCTCTTTTGTACATCTCATAACAGAAAGCGGACGACGTCGTCCTTTGGGTGTTGGTTTATTATACTTCTATGGATTCCTGTATAAAGCTTTAATGTGGCTTCACCCCTTTTTGTTTGCAGTTCTGGCAGTCTGGCCATGGATGCAGATTCAAAGTTATCACTATTTTCTCTCAAACATCTTTTAACTCGTAGAGAAAAGAGTATGTCAGCCCGGTCCATTGATCGCACCCCCACCATAATTTGTTTGTTGCGTATCCTTTACAGGACGTTGCAGAACCAACCCCTGCAGCCACTGGCTGTTGTGTGGTTTATTTAGGCAAATTTACGTCTAGTAGTTCCTCCATAATTGACTGACCTGATAATTAGAGGCATATTTTCTTACGTCACTATGGCCGAATCTGTGGTTTTAACACGTGGACTTCTGCACCATATACCTAGTACACTTTAATGCATGGGAAAAGGTCTTTTAATAATTACTTTTGTCTTCCTTTTATAATTGCCCCCCCCCCCCTTTTCCAGATCGCACGCGAAGGTACTTAGAACAGTTCACCAGCTTCAAAACATTGGCGAGCATCCACTTTTGTATGTGACAGAATAATCGATTAAAAAAATATCGCGTATTGTATGTGTGTGTAGGTGTGTATGCTTTTTCTATATTTCATAATTTGCCCGAGCAGTGGGTTATTTGACCTGGTAAACATTTAAAATGGACCCTTTTCCACACCTTTAGGTGCGATGAGCATAAAGGGCTAGATCTATGTTTTATTGACCATTCTGCATTGGGTGGCTGTTAGGTCAACATAACATCAGCATATCTGGAGTGCAACGACGATAATGAAGTAAAGGTCAATTTTCCACCCCTTTAGGTGTATTGTGAATACAGGGCTAGACCTATATTTTTAAAGACCAATCGGCACTTGGTGGGTGATGTGGTCAGCAACACATCGACCGCCTTTACTTCTCAGGACTGCACCTGGTACCCACTCAAGACTTGGTTGACTTAGTAGTCATTTATAACTCACACAAACAACAACAACAACAACAACAACGATGAATAACAAAACCAGGCACATCTCATTGTAAGGGGAAAAAACATGCACACAAGATAATAATAAAATATATGGGCGGTTGTTTGTTTCAGTTGCTGCCTTCATTCATCATGCTGCTGACAGTCACCTGGGTTCTGTGTGTGACACTTTTGAAGACGTCATGGGCGTTTCCTTCAGGGGCACACAGCAATACTTCTAATCCCATGGAGGCTTTTTCTTCATACTGCACTTCTGGAAATTTCCGGTAATTTATATTATTTAAACCCCGACTGGATCATTGTTAATATGTTAACGTCATCATCGCCATAATCATCGCCATCAACATCATCATCTTCATCATCATCATCATATTCATCATCATCACCATCATAATCGTCATCGTCACAACCATTATAATTTATAATTCTAGCTAGTCATCTTCTTGTGGGATGCAATTTTTCGTTTGTTTGAAGCCCCACTCTGGCTCTTCCCAGGGGCCGCATTATAGTCCGACCATAAATATGGTCTAATTGCTGAACGCGGTTTCCAGGACCTCTCCACGGGTGATCCTAACCCACATGGTGGTACTTTCAGTCATCGGGTATGTATCGCTTGTGTGATGTCCTAGTGGGGTAAAATCTACTACTACTACTACCACTACCACCACCACCACTACTACTACTACTACTACTACTACTACTACTACTACTACTACTACTACTACTACTACTACTACTACTACTACTACTACTATTACTACTACTAATACTACTACTACTGATGCTACTAATACTACTACCACCACTACTACTACCACTACTACTACTACTACTCCTACTACTACTACTCCTACTACTACTACTACTACTACTACTACTACTACTACTACTACTACTACTACTACTACTACCACCACTACTACTACTACTACTACTACTACTACTACTACTGCTACTACTACTACTAACACTACCACTACTACTACTACTACGAATACTACTACTACTACTACTACTACTACTACTACTACTACTACTACTACTACTACTACTGCTACTACTACCACTACCACTACTACTACTACTACCACTACTACTACTACAACTACTACTACTACTGCTACTACAACTACCACCACTACTACTACTACTACTACTACTACTACTACTACTACTACTACTACTACTACTACTACTACTACTACTACTACTACTACTACTGCTACTACTACTACTACCACTACTACTACTACTACTACTACTACTACTACTACTACTACTACTACTACTACTACTACTACTACTACTACTACCCCTACTACTACTACTACTACTACTACTACTACCACTACTACTACTACTACTACTACTACTACTACTACTACTACTACTACTACTACTACCACCACCACCACCACTACTACTACTACTACTACTACTACTACTACTACTACTACTACTACTACTACTACTACTACTACTACTACTACTACTACTACTACTACTACTACAACTACTACTACTACTATCATTATTATTATTATCATCGTCGGTATCGTCATTACTGCCCTCATGGGTAGGAATTGACTTGAATCAGTCGTTAAACTTCTGGCTCTACAGAATCCCTAGCACGCACGGTCAAATGTGATTAGAACCCTACACCAGTCTGATTTTGGTTCTGGCAATAAACTAACTTTTCTCCTCGACCAGTATTATCAAGCCTGCACAAGTGACTTATTATGTCTTCAGCTTGCACCATTGAGTCCCAGAATTGTTTTTTTTCCTCTGCCTGGGCTTTATGCAGGAGGTGCTTCTTGTCAGCAGTTACTCTGAGATATGTTTTTCTTTCCGCACTTGGAGTCTAGCCCATCCAGGAAGCAACCACGAATTACTGAACTTAAAATTACATAGGGGAAAAAACACCAAACAGCCAATAGTATGGGATTGGGCCTTAAACGTTCTGTAAAATGGTAGGCAACTAACTGTTGAGAAAAAGACCCTATCACGCCAATGGCGAATTAGACTTTTGAGCTAGATTCCACATTTGTTATATACCAATCGGCCCTAGAGCAGTGTGGTCCGCATCACTAAGGCCATGTTTACTTCTTATCACTTTTGTCTGGGCCCAATTTAGCCTTTGTCAACCTGGGAGCAAAGCTCAGTCGATGCTGATTCTAACTTGAGACCTTTAGGTCCGAATGCAAGATTCTGGCCACTTCTTTTACCAATAACATTTTTTTTTTAAAATTTGTGTTTCTTGTTAAAAGGAAAACGTAATTATACTAGAAAGATAAGATAATTAGTAAGTATATAGTTAATGCATTTACTTTCCAGACCAAGCCACGGAAACATTTTAGCCCAGTCCAGTCCGGCACCTTACAACATCACGGTGACTTCCCCTGCCGGAAATATCTACAAACCTGGGCAGATAGTTACAAGTAAGTCAAACTGAAATACTTATTTTGCTAATCTTTATTTTAGTAGCCGCCCTGGTGAAGCGGCTAGAAGCTAGAACACGGATCGGAAGATCGCGGGTACAGGTCCTGACGGTACAGGACTTTTTCCAAAATAACCTTGGCCTCTAGTTCGACCCATTCTTGAATTTGTACCAGGTGGAGTTATAAGAAGTAAAGGCGGCCGGTGTGATGCTGACCACATTACCAACCGAGTGCCAATTGGTATAAAAAATAAAGATCTAGCCCTGTATGCTCAACATACCTATAGGCGTGGAAAAGGTCCTTCACTTTAATCTCCGTTTTGTAGTAGAAATTATCTTGCCATCCAGGAGGAG